GGATTCCACAGTGTGTCTTATCTTGGAGAATACCTTCTGTTTTGTTTAGTGGATCTGACAGAGACCCCTGCTCAATTTTTCTCTGGCAAAGCAAAGAGTATGGAACAAGTGCAAATCCAGAAAGACCTCGTCATTGACCTTACAGGCAGAGTAATTAATCAGCCAATAAGCAGCCAAGAGGCCCATGGTAACTGTGGATGAGCTGCAGGAATCTATTGACAGACATAATTGGTCAATTAGTCCGACCGACATGGAGGTATAGCAAGAAACAAGTTATAATTAATAGAGAAACATGAAGTACTGGTTGAAGCTTGTTATAATCTAACTAAAAGGCAAAGCAGGATTAGGGAAAAATGGTTTACTTATCTAATTTGTGCAAAAAAATTGTGTTTTAAAATGAAGAAATGTAAAGGAGTTTGGAGGTATGATTATCAGCTGTACACTGTTCATCCTGGGTATGATTGTTTGTTCTTTTCCGTTGCTCACCTGCTTTCTGCTAGCAGCGTTAACGTTCTGCTGTTCTTGATGTTCAATAAAACTCAGAATTGTCAATACAACATTGTTTGCATTAGGATTGTTCTTTGTGGTTACATTTCCCTTGGCTGTGACTAATACTAAATAAGTAGTGACAACAATCCTGGCTTTACATCACTGGGAAGATGTAGCTGTATAACTAAGAAGTTTATTTTGCATCCCTCTATCAGCTCCTGTTCTTCTTCAATCTCTGTCCGTACAGAGCTGAAGTCTGTTTATTTCTCCATCTGGTGCCTGGGGTTAAAATCAGATGCAAAGAGCATTACATTAAAGTGGCACATCTACTCTGCTTTCCCAGAAGTTAAAATGAAAAACACTTTTAGAATACAAATAACCTCAGTTCAAATAAGTGGCACAGGTTTGAGGACCTTATCTCAGTCTGTCAGTCAGTTTGGAGTCGGCACGGTTTACAAAAGCCCAGAGATACCAAGAGATCCTCGCAGACAGCCCTTTGGCTACATGGCAAACAGGTATGTCACTCATGCACACATCAGATTAAAGTGCCTCCAATATTTTTTTTTTCTTATTTTTATATTTGAAAAAAACAAAACATATTTCTGCGTATTTTTAAGATATTTCTCCTCTTTGCTACTGAAGATAATGAATAATTCTTATAACTGGCAAGGTTTGTGAAGTATTTTTTAGTTTGATTTTTAAGACAGCCAAGTAAGTCGACTAATCCCTTTTTTCCTGCAGCTTTTGCTCTGGAAGGGTTTCTTGTATTAGAATTAGGACTGCCGTTTGAAGCTTCAGAGAGCACACCATTCAAATCTGAGGTGATTAAAGATTTGGGGAATAGAATTCACCAAAATAACCTCCGCAGAAGGAATAAATCAAAAAGATATATATATTTTTATCAGATTTGCTTCACTCACTTTTAACAATATTTGTGGAGAAAAACCTTGAACGAAGTTAAGGTAATAAACTATAGCCCTGAATTTGAGCAAGTTCTGTTGGTTTTGTATCATAGCTTAATAGTTTCCCTATAATATATGAATGTTTAAAGTTTAAAATTTGTCCTGCATTTATGTATTTTTTTGCATTTTTTTTTTTTTGCGATTTTGATGGTTTAACTGAAAAAATAAACTTTAATCACTCACAAAAATCATTTAAACTGCCTTTCTGTCAAAGATATATGTCTTGTTATTCTTATAGCCTACAGTCAATCATTTCATGCTAACGCTAAACCATCACCGAAAAAACACAAAATCTAATTATTTCAATGTTTTCTGGCACAGCTTGGTAATTTTTTTGTGATTTATTTAACACAGTGTAGAGAGTGGTGCTCTTCTCTGTACAGAAACTGAAAAACTAAACCCAAACTGTTTATAATTAAGCTGTATATTTTCACTTGTTGGTGAAAATTAACTACCGCAGTCAGAAATGAAATTGCCTTGAGCTTGTGTGGGCCTTTGATAAAGCAATAATGTTAGATTTACGGCAGAAAATCTAATTAGATTGTTGAAACTGTGGCCTTAAAATCCTCCTGTTCAAACTACTCCCGTAGTGCTTAATTCTTTGTACCATCGGTTCCATGCATTTATTTTGACTATATTCATATTATTAGGGCTCAAATTGAACTCAACTTAAGCTACTCTTTTAAATATGCTAGTATTTTTTTATCTTTAAATTCCCATTATATACTCATTAAAATAATTTTGTCTTGTTAAAACCTCATAACATTATTTGTTTCTCTGGTCATTTGAAAACCATTTTGGTCACTTACTTTTCTAAAAACACTTTACCTAATTTGACCTTATTTTTGACCTTTACATTTTTTTTTGTCATAAGCAGATAACTATTAAAAGATAGGGGCTCAGGTTTTCAAGGATTAGCATATGCTTGGTCTGTGGTAAGAAAAGATAAGTTGAAGCTGGTCGAGTAAGACTTGAAATAATATTAGCCTTACCTCTCAAATCCAGTGGCGGTATCATAAACTGTGTTTGCAGCAAGATGCTGCAGAACAGGGCAGGCCGGTTTGATGGTGATTTACCTTTTCATCATATGGTGAATATTAGCTGTTGGTCAGAGTAGAAGGCCAGAGAATGGAGGAAAGACTCAGCAGACAGGAGAGGACATCCAGGTTTCAGAGACTCAGAGAAACCAGCACCTGAGTAACAAAACCTTCCACACACCTCAACAGGATTTTGAGCTTATTTGATGCAACAAAAGATATTCAATCTGGCAAAGCAATATGGCCCCATACTGATCCTTAAATTGTTGAGCTGCAGTGGGTGACTGCAGTGCAGGAAGCTGGCTCTGCCCTCATAGGACGACCAGCAGAAGCAGCAGAATCCCTGGGGAGCGAGGCAAAGAAAGGGAAAAGAGATAACAGTGATATCAGCCTTTTTATACCTGAGGGTTTTCTTTAAAAAAAAAAAAAACTAATAATCTAAAACCTTTCTGGGACTTCTGTAATATATAATATGGTCCACTTTTAAATGTAATACACACTTAATGAGGAAAATGCTAAGGCGAAAGGCTCATCTTTCATCTCAGTTCAAAGGTAAAAGCATGGATGTGAGGGAGTCACACACATTTCTTCATAGCAGTCTATTCAAAATTCAGTCAATATATAATAGAAATTCAATACCATTATGGCAGTAGATGAAACTATTTTATAAGCCAGGAATAAAGGTAGGAGGGAATTTTATGTCCAGTCTACTAAATAGATTATGTTAATTGAAGAAATGAAAAGTTTGATTCAGTGGTTACACCAAAGGACAGGTGGTGAATACTAAAATGAGATGAGTCATTTTTTGGAGCCCGCAAAGGCATGTCAAGTATAGTCATTTAAGCAATATCTATGGTGATATTAAATTGCAGGGGCTGGTCTACATTACAGCCGAGAGTTTTCACAAAATGAAATAAAAAAAGACCAAAGGGTGTTTGTGTCGCTTATGATTTTGTTCTGCATGTATATATTCTGTGTGAGACAAAATGAAGATTAGTGCTGTTTTGTTTCTTTTTTTTATCCTCTTTTTGTTGGGTGATTCCAATAAGTGGGCTAGAGCAGTGCGCTTGTGCTCTGAGAAGATTGCAAGTACCTGGTTTGTTCCGCACAGCCTCCACTCTGGGTCTCTGAGCAAGACCCTTAGGTTGAAGTTCTGAGTTTGAGCGCTACTGCAACTCTTGGTTCCTGAGCAAGACCCTTAACCCCACACTGCTCCCCAGGTGCCACACAATGGCAGCCAACTACTCCCCAAGGGGATGGGTTAAATGCAGAGGTGACTTTCTCCAGGCTGAGATCAATAAAGGTGAATTATTATTATTATCTCTCTTTAATGGTTCTGCCAGGCCTGAGCTGTCATTCTTGTTCAGATTACATAGAAAGAAAATTAAGTGAAATTATTGTTAACAGGGAAATAACCATATAAAATAAAATAAAAAGTAAAAATACATCGTTTTGGCCAAATTCTAGGACTCTGCTTTATCAGTTAAGTAGGCATTCAACCCAAACATAAATGAAAGTTATGAGCGTAGTAGACTGATCCAGGTCATCAAAAGATCTCTTACTGCTAATTTGACACTATAATATTTTTTTGTCTTGAATTTTTGTTGACTGCATCTGGACTATTTATTTTTATCTCATTTTTGGCTGAAAACTGAACTTAATTTTGATATAGTATTTAGTTTAACAGAGCATTTAGTTTAGGTTTTTTGTTTGCCCCCACCCCTTGGCTCTTTTTCTTTTTGTCTGTAAGGTCCCCACCGTTCTCCTGTGTTATAAATAAGTATTTTGTAGGACTTGCTATCAGAACAAACAAATTGAAATGAGCAAACTTGTAACATATTTTAACTCCTAACGATATTGTGGTATTATGTATTGCCATGAAGAAATATTGGAAAGGAGTGCATCTGAAAGTGTTTATGTAACACTCTTGAGAATTTTAGCAATGTTTTTTTTTTTATTGCAGTGTAAAAAAACAAAAAAACAAAACAAAACAAAAAAACATAGCACGCTGGTTAAATCATTTACGGCTGTGCTTTTGTTTACAGGTTTTGGATTTGATTTGTACTCTGCTGAAAGATACAAAGCAAAGAGCCCGTCAGCTGGTAACAAAAACCATCATTAGAAAATTTTTTAAAACCGCAGCAGTTTCAATGATTTAGTTTTTGACGCCTGGAGTGTTTCTACACAGACTAAATGTTTTTATTTTTAGGAACAAAATCTTTTAGGTAATAAAAAAAAACAAAACGTTTTTTTTATGTTAATCTTTTTACATCAGAAAAAATAGGTCTATCATATCTGGGTCTAAAGAGTCAACAAGTTTCTCTGGTTGATGGGGGGAACAATTCTGTGAGTCTGAAATGTTTTTAATAAAAACGAAAAACATCAGCGTTGAAAATCCGTTTTACTAATATATGACATATGAGGTTGCCATAATCCAACCACCTTATTTAATTGGTCAACACAATTCCCCCAAGATCTCGTATTCTATCGCGATATCGAACATTCTTCCCAGTGAGAGGCAACCCTCAACTGTTTCAGTCGCTGTTGTGGGAGCCAAGAAGAGTGGTCGGGCTGCCTGTTAGGTTTACTGTGATTCACCCGGAGGCTCAGCGACACTGCTCCAATTTATCCGACTAACCGAACCAGCCCCCAGGGGCGCCTTTGGAGAAACTCCGGGTCTCTCCGCTAATCCTGCAGGTAAAATTGCTGTTGTTATGTCCTGTTGGCTCCGTTTCTTTTCTCCTCCAGACACTCGTTTATGCAGTTTAACACCACTAAAGCATCATTTAACTTGTCTCCGCTTGTTTTCTTGTCTCACACGTTTTAGTTGCGCTGGTTGAACAGTTTTAGCTCTAACAGTGTCTCTTTAATCACTCGGGGTGGCTTTCAGTGAACCTGAGGGGGGATGCAGGAACTTCAAAGCTCTCTGTTGACTCTGTCTCTGGGATGAAATTCCCAGTTAGCTTGTATGCTAACGATACATCTGCTTAGATAAAAGTAGCCTGGCTGCTTCGGCTCTAGCTAGCTGCCCGTGTTGCCTTGCAGCTCATCACAGTAAATATCAGTTTCCCTGTGTTGTTGTGTTAGACAGGCGGTGATGAGGTGGCAGCTTAACTTTTACCTCTAGTTAGCTTACACTCCTTGGTCTACAGGCAGGTTTCTGCACGTTAGCAGTTGAGTAGAGAGATGTTTCAATCTGCAAACCTTTGCAAACAGAACCTATGTACTTTAATTGTTGTTCATTTTCATGATCTCTTTCTCCTGTCCATCATAATCCAAATCCTTAAAAAAAATCCCCGACTAACCAAACGTTAAAGCAGCTTTCATCTCATTTCTTATAAAGTGTCTAAAATCTGTGCAACTATGCTTCTAGGAAGACCTTACAATACACCACTGAGATTTATATTTGGGTTTTTGTGTTTAAACCTAGTCTAAACTCCTTATCTTACATTAAAAATAATGATAATAATAATTGAATAAATTAAAGCTACAGTGTGTAATTTTCAGCGACATCTAGCAGTCAGACTGCAGACTGCAGCAACATGAACGTCTCCCCCCCACCGCTTCTCCCCCCCAACAGTACGGCGAGCGTTACGGGACAAAATGTCTTCCACGACGTCCGCATCACCTACCTTCTCAAGTGATGAGGTTTGTTTACATAGATAATTTTACAGATAGTATTTCATTAGTCTGTGTAGGGTATAGATTTCATGTAGACTTAAGATAATAAATATACCCGCTATTTTTTCTACGTCGTTGTGACGTTTTGGTGAGCTGCTTTGCATGGTGATATAAACAGACGAAGTAATTGTAGTCATTAGTTTAACAGCGAGATTGTGTTCGCTGGAAGAATATATATTCCCCGTTTACAGAGTCCAAGTCTTGTTTGTGGCACGGGGGTTACAAGGCAAGGAAGAGGGCAGAGAGGCCAGGGTGAGCGTGCAGCTGGGGCCAGGCGAGAGAGGGGAGCCAGCGGGGTGAGAGCAGAGGAGGAAAGGCTTGAAGATCTCCAAAGGAGCCGGAGAGAAGTAACCGAGGTATATATCCAGAAAATTATTTTACAGAAAATTACTGAATCATTACCTGTGAAACGTCAGGGACGTTGCTGAATAAGTATACTGGAGAGTAACAGCATCATCACGCAGCATGTTATTGTTTTAGACAGGTCTGAGCATCCTGTACTCCAAAAACTGCAGTGATATTAGACAATTGTGTGTGTAGGATTAATTACCTGTCCAAGAGAAAACTGGCAACTTGAGCGTCACTTTGAAAACCTTTTTCCTCCATCAGTGACTTCCATCGTGTAAATGCCGTGCCAATGTTGATCCGTGTTTTTTGTCGTTTCTTGTCACTCTTGCGTTTATTCTCGTCGTGTTTCCGCTTCTTAGATGACGGGGGTTCGGTGTCCGCCGCTTTTCGTTGTGATACAGAGTAGGCATGATCCTCCATTCGTCTGATGTTTGGCCACACAGTGCCAAACAGTTTGCAAAGTCACTCACGCCTGCCGCCTTGTTTACCTTTCTTGTTACCGAGGCGCAGTATACCTGCTTCTTCTTCTTCTTTGGTTTCAGGCAGACTAAACGCTTCTCAGGCATAATACTGCCATCTACTGTTCAGTACCGTCTCAGTTCATCTCTCTCAACTTGCCGTAGTTATTTTCGAGCGTCATGGGAGATCTCGCAATCGCTAGTTTGTTGCCTCTGCGCTGCCGTAGCGCAAAGATGTCAGCCTCCATGGCTGCGAGACCCGCTCCTATGTAATTATAAATAACGAATTCTAAGGCAACGCAAATGTTATGGTTAAAAGGCTGAGCTCATAGGTGATGATAAATAACATAGTTATGTATAATATATTAAATTTCTGAATTTATATGCCTGTAATTATTACACACTGTAGCTTTAAAATCTCTTAGCACCTCATGATATTGTTCTGATTTGTAGGGTTGCAGTCATATTTGTAAAAATAGTGTATTTTTTCCCTGAAAAGGGAAAAAAATACTGCTTAGCTCTCCTAATAAATTTGCCTGTAACTTAGAAGCAAAAGAAAGTGGACTTGAACCATTGTGACGGCTGCTACATTCACCTTTTATAAAGCATTTAAATATTATTAAGATTTCAATTGTTTTGAGGGCTATCATAAAATAATATTGTATTGTGCAACAAACAGAAATCATTTCAAACTGTAGGTATGTGAATCAGTCAAGCCTTATGATTTTAGAAATGGTTTTCATTTGAACTTTTTCAGTAAAATAAAGAGAAATTTGTTTTTTCTCTAAAAGCAGCTATTAATCTTAAGTATCACTGTGCAGCCACAGAGCTGCAGCATCTGACCTTTTTTCATCATAACCAATAAACCATTTAATATGGTATGTCCCTGCAGTTACTAAATACACAGTGACTTATAAAGTTTACAAATTTTATATAAAACATGTTAATAACTAAAGGAAAACTTGAAAATAAATGAAAGATTAATTTGATAAACTATATTTATCTAGTACAGATATCCAGCCATAGTTATGATGGCAAGAGGGGAAATCTTCTCCCTTTAAGATGTTTTCGTAATCATTTTATTTTTTTATGCTTGGTCATCATGTGCACCAGTGAGACGTGGGTTAATTCCCACTTAAAGGGTTCTTGTCCTGTGCAGCTAGACAGCCGTAAAGCATCATTATCTGGAATCAAGGCGTTATCAACAGATCCTTAAAGCTCTGTGAGTTTGGAGTTGTAGCAAGAGCAGATCAGACCTGACACGATGTCTGGTTCATTTATCCAGCGGCAGACCAGCGCTGGGAGCCACTCAACGCTGCTTACTGGTAACAATCCACTTGCTCTGTTATTTGAAGGACATTCGAACACATTTATCTAGCCATGATGACTTGCTTGTGTCATAGCCGGTCAGCTCTTCTTTAACCTTACACTAAGCCAGCAAAAAGAAGAACTCAGTGTTTGTGGATTTCTGAAAATAAAAATAGTTTCTTCATAAATTATAATCTTTATTTATGTCCATTAATGTCACGTATAGACATCTGGACTTTAGAGGGGGAAAATCCAGTCTTATTATCTAAACAATAAAAAGCAGTAGTTGAGATCTTACAAATGGTGCTTGTTGAGCAGGTTTAGAATAAACTAGTCAAAGGATTTTGAATCGGCATCTCTGCAGCCTCAAAATCAGCCTTGTCAAAAAAAGCCCTCTTAACTTAGACGAATTGGAAGTTTAGGGATATATCATATTTTCTACATTGTCACAGGAGTACTCAACTCTTGGCAGCTCTAAAGCATGCAAGCAAAATAATGACCCATTTTCCAGTTTTACCTGTTCTGAAAAGACTTTATAGTGGTGGGTCCATATTGATTTTTTTAAGAAGGGGACATTTATATACAAACACACAGGGTGTCAATATACTTAAAATTAAGTGATTATTAATTGACTTTAAGAACTTCATTTATGCTTAAAAATTCATCATTCAGACGTCTCATAGAAATCCTCATAAATGGCATCCCTATCAGGGAGCACTCAGTGTAACCAACACATCTTTATATTATTTGTTCTGTAGAATCTTTTGCTCTTATTTTGGTATATGTTGAGAAACGCCACCTCTTCTGTCCATCTGGGTAAATACATTGCTTTTCATAAAAGTGCCACAGCCCCGAAGAATATGAATATTTCACAATGTTCTATAGTTTAACCCTTAACAGCAGATGTAAATACACGTTGGTTGTGTCCTATATGTGTGTTGTGTCATGTATGATCTGGTTGAACTGTAAAGTGCCTTGAGATGACATGTGTTGTGAATTTGGCGCTATATAAATAAACTGAATTTAATTGAATTGAATTATATTCATTCAAAGGCTACTAGCGTATGACAGCTAATTTATTTATTGATTGATTTATTTATTTTTTTTACACAAATGCTTAACTATTATACTGACAAACTATAGAGGTGACTCTGAAATAATAGACCTGAATTAGATTAAAGGTGTCAAAACCACAGTTCCTTGAGTTAATCTGCCAAACAGCAACCCTTTTTCAGGACATACAAGAATAAGAAGCATGTCAACATTAGGAACTTATTTATAGATGGCCCTGTTGCAAAAATGACCCTGTTCTAAAATCCGGGCAGGCGTGTATTTCTAATTGACTGGCACTGTGAGCCCCCTATTTAAAAAAAATGGTTTCAGAGATTGGAAGAGAGAAGTCCAAAGGACACCAAATGATCAGCATCACTGGACGGTAGTGGCCATTCAAAATTTCCCCGCTTTCCTTGATGGGTCATTGGCTGGTTCCCTACAATTCCTTTTTAAACATCAATCTTTGTACTAAAATATTCTTTCTGTCATGATTTGTGAACATTAAGTTCTAAAGAGAAGAGTCATCTCCTGGTCAGACCCTGTAATTCAGGGAAAGGGTGGAGTCAGAGTAAAAAAATATGCTAGAAGGGATTTTGCTGGGAGCTCCAGTGGGCTGCCATTTGGCTGGCGTTTGACTGGGAAGGGCCATTTTGAATGACTGCTACTGTATGTTCTATCTTTAATGTGAAGAACTGTCTAAACTGCAATTGTTATTAATTTATTACCATGCACTGCAGCTTCCTTATAGCTTCTATTTTTGATCTTTTAAAGCAAACGTATGGTTAGGGGGTCAAAATTAGGAAAGTTTAATCAAGTTGTTTATTACATAAAACCAGCAGAAGCAACTTT